AAAACCCGGAAAGATTTGTATGGACTGATGCTGAGTGAAGTCAGCAGAACCAGGAGAACATTGTACACAGTAACAGTCACACTTGTGAGATGACTAACTTTGATAGACTTAGCTCTTCTCAGCAATGCAAGCATCTAAGACAGCTCATGATGGAAAATGCTTTCCACATCTAAAGAAAGAACTGTGGAGTTTGAATGTAGATCGAAGCATACTATTTGCTCTTTTTTTTCCTTCTCTTTTGTTTTATTTCCTCTTTCTTGTGGTTCCTTCTGTTCATTCTAATTCTTCCTTGCAACATGACTAATATGAAAATATGTTTAATAGAAATGTATCCATATAGCCTAAAAAACATGCAATACACTAAGTCTGATAGCTATTAAGGATAGAAAATCATCTCTCCAAATTCCAAGGTAGTGATACAGGAAAGAGCAGAACTGAACCTTCCTAGCCCAAACCAGACATTTTAGGAATAAGAAAAATCTCTCTTTACTAAATTGATTGGGCATAGTTTAGGGATGGAAAGGGTTCAGGAGTCATGTAAACCAACCTAATCATTTTTATAGAGAGCAAAACCGAGATCTAATAAAATAAATTGAATTGCCAAAAAAAAAAAAAGGAGGTCAAGGGCACAGGATAAGGGAGGAACTTTTAGGAGGCTGAATAGATCAAGAGGATAGGGGAGAGGATAAGGGAGAAATTCTTACAAGGGTGGGTAGATTAAGGAGTTGGAGGCTAAGGAGAAAGCATGAGGGAGGGATTCTTTTAAAAAGGGCACAGATTAGAGAGGTAGTGATTATAAGCAAATCAGATGCATGAGGAAGGATAGGATAAAAAGAGAGGGTGAGAAGGATAATGAAGAAGAAAAATAGGATGGAGGAAAATACACAACTAGTAATTCTAACTTTGAATGTGAATGGGACATCCATAAAACAGAAATGGATAGCAGAATGGATTACAAATCAGAATCCTATAATATTTTGTTTACAAGAAACACATTTAAAAATAAGAGATACACACAGTTAAAATAAAAGGCTACAGGAGAATTTATTATGCTTCAGCTGAAGGGAAAAAAAAGCAGAAGTAGCAGTCATGATTTCAGACAAAGTTACAGCTAAAATAGATTTAATTAAAAGATATAAAAAGGGAAACTACATTACGGTAAAAGGTACCATGGAAAATGAATATCAATGTCAATACTAAACTTATATGCACTAAATGCTATAGCATCTAAAATTTTAAAGGTGGAAATAGATAGTAATATTATAATAGTGGGGAACTTTAACCTTTTCCTCTCAGAATTAGATAAATCTAACCAAAAATTAAAAAAAAAAAAGAAAGAAGTTAAGGAGGTGAATAGAATCTTAGGTAAGCTAGATATTAGTTATCTGGAAAGATTTGAATGGAAATAGAAAGAAATGCACCTTTTTATCAGCAGTACATGGTACGTTTACAAAAATTGACCACGTATTTTGGTATAGTTAAATGAAGAAAAGCAGAAATGCAAAATGCATCCCTTTCAGATCACAATTCAATAAAAATTTTATTCAATAAAAGACCATAGAAACACAGATTAAAAACTAATTGGACACTAAACAACCTAATCTTAAAGAATGAGCAGGTTAAAGAACAAATTATAGAAACAATTAATAATTTCACTAAAGAGAATCACAATAATGGGAGTGCGCATCAAAACCAAGGGGATGCAGCAAAAAAAAAAAGTAATCAGAGAAAAAATATATCTCTAAATACTTATATCAGTAAAAGAGAGAAAGATTAGACCAAAGAATTGGGTATGCAATTTAAAAAAAAAAACCTAGAAAAAGAATAAATTAAAAATTCCCAATTAAACACCAAATTGCAAGTCTTAAAAATTAAAGATGAGATAAAATTGAATGTAAGAAAACCATTGATTTAATAAATAAAAGGAGTTGGTTTTATGTCAAAAAATAAAATAGATAAATCATTGGTTAATGTGATTTTTAAAAAAGAGTAGAAAACCAAATCACAAGGATTAAAAATGAAAAGAGTAAATGCACCAGTAGTGAAGATTAAATCAAAGGAATTATAAGGAGTTATTTTGCCCAATTATATGACAATAAACTTAACAATTTAAGTGAAATGGAAGAATATTTACAAAAAAATATAAACCACCTGGATTAACAGAAGAGGAAACAGAATATCTTAAAAAATCTATTTTAGAAAAAGAAATTGAACAGGCCATAAATGAGCTTCCTAAGAAAAAAGTGTCAGGACTAAATGGATTTACAAGTGATTTCTGCCAAGCATTTAAAGAACGATTAATTCCAATATTAAATAAATTATTTGAAGTAATAAGCAAAAAAAGAATACTAATGAGCTCCTTTTATGAAACAAATATGATGTTGATACCCAAACCAGGAGTAGCAAAAACAGGGAAAGAAAACTATAGACCAATTTCATTAATGAATATGGATGAAAAATCCTAAATAAAACACTAGCCAGGAGACTACAACAATACATTACAAAGATTATATACTGTGAACAAGTGATATTTATACCAGAAGTACAGGAATGGTTTAACATAAGGAGAACTATGAACATAATTGATTACATCAATAACAAAAGTAACAATTATTTGATTATGTCAATAGATTCAGAAAAAGCTTCTGATAAACTACAATATTCCTCACTATTAAAAAAATTTGAAAGCATAGTTATAAATGGATTTTTCCTTAAAATGATAAGAAACATCTAACTAAAACCATAAGCAAGCATTATTTGTAATGGGAATAAGGTAGAAGCCTTCCCAATAAGATCAGGAATGAAACAAGGATGCCCACTGTCACCAATGTTATTCAATATTGTATGAGAAGAAAAAAATTGAAGGAATCAGAATGGGCAATGAGGTAGTAAAAACTATCTCTTTTTCCAGATGGTGTGATGATATACATGGAAAATCCTAAAGATTCAACTAGAAAGTTAGTGAAAATAATTAATAACTTTTGCAAAGTAGCAGAATATAAAATAAACCCATCAGCATTTCTATATGTCACCGACAAAACCCTGCAAGAAGAGATAGTAAGAGATACCCTACTTAAAATAACCATATAAAAAATAATAAAACTACCATAGACAATATAAAATACCAGGGAGTATATCTACAAAACAGACCTAGGAACTACTTGAACATAATTATAAAACACTTTTTATATAAATAAAGTCAGATTTAAATGATTGGAGCAATATTAATTGTTTGTGGGTACACAGAGCTAATATAATAAAAATAACAGTTTTACCTAAACTAACCTATTTTTTCAATATAGTCTCAATTAAACTACCCCCAAAAATTATTTTACCAAAATAGAAAAAATAATAACAAAATTCATCTGGAAGAATAAAAGGTCAAAAATATCAAATGAATTAATGGGAAAAATGTAAAGGAAGGAGGTTTAGCAGTACCAGATCTTAAACTATAATATAAGGAAGAAATTATTAAAACTCTCTGGTACTGGTCAAAAAATAGAAAGATAGATTAGTGGAACAGATTAGACATACAATACAAGTAGCAAATGATTATAGTAACTTTGTGTTTGACAAATGTAAAGATTTAAGCTTTGGGGATAAAAATTCATTATTTAGTAAAAATTGGTGGGAAAGCAGAAAAGCAGTCTGGCGAAATTGGGCTTAAACCAATATCTTACACCATTTACCAAGATAAGATCCAAATGGATATATGACCTACACATAAAGGGAGATATCATAAGAAAATTAGAAGAACATGGAACATATGGCCTATCAGATTTATGAATGGAAGAATAATTTATGAAAAAACAAAAGAGCATTATGAAGTGTAAAATAGATAATTTCTATTACATTAAATTAAAAAGGTTTTACATAGATGAAACCAATATAGCCAAGATTAGTAGGGTAGAATACAGGGAGCTGCCATCTTCCTAGTCTTGGACACTATTCCTCTTTTAATTCATCCTAAGACTGCTTTTTTTTTTTGCCTGCCATATCACATTGTTGACTTATGTTGAATTTGTAACCCACTAACACTCCTAGATATCTTCACACAATCTCTTCCTCTGGATATGATGCTGATTTTTCTGAATCCAAGTAAAAAATGTTACATTTATCCATATTAAATGTCTTCTTGTTAAATGTAACCCAACATTCTAGTTCGTTGAAGTCTTTGTGGATGTTGGTTGTGCAATCTGTTCTTGTAAACTATCCCTTCTAGCTTTGTGTCATCTTTTAGTTTGCTAAATGTGCCGTTTTTGCCTTTATACAGGTCACTGATAAAAAAATTTTAGCAGCACAGGATCAAATGCCAATCCCTGAGGCCTTCAGATGGAGACCCCTTCTAAGTTGGCCTTCTTTGGGTCTGACGACCCATTTAGTACTGTATCCACTTAATTTTGCTAGTCTCCAGTCTGCTTCTCTATTTTTTTCATCAATTGTAGAGACTTCTTTGAAAGACTCTACATATGTAAGACACTCTTTATATGAAACTTTGTCAAATTTCCTTACTAAAAATCAAGATTACTTTATCTACATTTATTACTTTATCTAAGGTCCCTTCCAGCTCTAATATCCTATAACCTAAGGCCCCTTGTAGTTTTAAGATCCTTTCCAGTTTTGAGACTCTGACATTTGTGACCAGAGTTCATCCCCAATTATGGGAAACTCCCAGATTGACAAGTTTCATCTTCAGCCTCCCCATACCTCAAGCAAAAAAACCTCGGGTCTTTTCTCCAGTGCCTCGCAGACATAACCCTTTCCCTTTTCCTACCCTCTGGTCCTCACTGCTCTAACTGGAGGTCTGTTCAGGAGCTGAAAGGATAAAGTGTTCCATTTGTGTTTGTGTTGTTATTCCCCTGCCCCTCCTCCTTCTCACCCTCTGTGCCCAGCCCTGGCTCTGGGGACTGCAGGAAATTGAGAACTGGAGCTGGCTGTTCCTTGGAACACCCCCAAACAGGTTTCCTGCATTGATTCGGAACACTGTTTAAATAAGAGGGTGTGGCTGCCTTACTTAAGGCCCTGAGCCCAAGGTGCTGAGCCTTGGATCTTACCAGACAAGAGCAGAACCATGAAGCTGCTGCTTGGCTTGGTGATGCTTCTCTACATTTGCCTGTTGGCTAATGCAGCTCCTCCAACTTGCTACTCAAGGATGCTGAATCTAAGCAAAGAAATCATGGATTCCTTTACCACACTGCAGAATGAAGAGCCTCTGGTAAGTTTATTGCTTTTTTTTTCTTTTTTGTGGATGTTTTAAAAGCTTCCATTTCTTCCTCAGAAAAATTATGCAATTGTACTCAATAAACTGTAAGGTATCTTTCCATTCTAACATTCTCTGTTCTAAGGTTCTTTCCATCTTTAACATTCTGTGTTCTAAAATGCATTCCAGCTCTAATAATAAACATGGATTATTATGTAAATGTCTTTTTCATCTCCAACATTTTGATTTCTATCATTCCTTCCAGCTCTAGCATTCCATGTTCTACATTCCTTTTCAGCTCTAACATTCTGCATTTCAAGACCTTTTCTAACTCTCACAGTTTAAGTTCTGTGATCATTTCCACCACTAACATTCTGTGTTCCAAGATCCCTTCCAGATCTAAAAATCTTTGTTCTCTGTTCTAAGTTCCTTTTTAGTCCCAAAATTCTATGTTCTAAGATCCACTCCAACTCTAACAGCCTTTTTTATGTCACAAGGCTCCTTCTAGCTCTTACTCCTATGACCTTGTGAAAGGCTGCCTTGTCAATCTGTTGGGTCCCTCAAGAATATTGAATAATAAACAGTCTGTTTTCCTTACTTCTAGGAGCCCTGTGTGGAGGGACTGCCAAAACTTTACTTGGATATACATGTAAGTTAATTCTTTCTCAGATCCAAACATTAGTAGTTGGGGGCCTGTGTATGTATCAGAGGCAGGGGAGGGAGGAAGAGAACTATTATTATATGCAGAGTTTGGCTGGAGATGATAGCTCATAGATCGTACAAGGATGGAGCTGAAAGGAATTTGGAAATATCACTTAAGCAAACAATCAGTATGAAATGTAGATCAGTGTGGGAAAGTTATATAAGAGGGGAACTGAGGAAATGAAAGACAGAGTACGTGAAGAACATAGTGTAGTTGAAATAGCACTGAACCTGGAATCAGGATACCTGAGTTCCATCCTATCTCTGGGGCTTTATTAACTATGTAATTTGGGGGAAATGCCTTAATATGAACCTCAGTTTACTCATCTATAAAATGGGCATAATGTTTTTTAAAATTATCTCACATGGGTTGCCCAACACACACATGTGCCTAGTGAGGAGTTGAGGTCTTGAATCAATCATATGAGCCCCATGCTATTTCCATGCTTCATGTGATCATAAAATCATTCCTAGAGCTGGAAGGGGGCTTATAGAAATTGGCTCCATTTCACACAAGGGTGAGAAGGTAGCAAATTGGGACTGAAAACCTAGCTTCTCTGACTAAACCCAATGCTCTTTCCTTAACACCATCTAAAGAAAAAGTCATCTAAATGCTAAATTATATCTAGAAAAAGATAGAAGAATGACTGCTAGAATTTTCTGATGAGTAAGAACTGTCTATTCTACCCCGTTCAAAGCAAGGGATCTTCCACATTCCTGTTGTTATCTACAAAATAGCATTTTACTATTGCTCCAAAAGTAATAGGTTTCAAGCAATATGACTGGGACAGTCAGGGCAAAAGCAATCATAGCAATGATAAATTTTAGTCCCTTTCACTGTGAGTATATTATCTGAGGAAGACATGGAGCATCAATCAATATACAAACATTTGGGCTAAACACCATAAGGGATGCAAAGTTTACCAAGTCCATCTCAGTGTCCAGAGAAATTATAATCTATAATATGCTAGGAAATATAATCTAGTAGATAAGACCCATATGGAAATAATTACAATACAAGGCCAAATAGCAAAGTTCAATAAGAAAAGTATAGGCACACACCATAGAATGTTTATTGCTACTAGGAAACATGACTTCAGGTGAAATAATATTTATTATGGGGGTCAGTCCATTCTATAAGAACAATGTTATAAATGGGAGAGCAGTCTAACAATGTTACTAGTGGAGATTTCAAATTTTCTTCTGGGAATTAGTTAAATAATGAATAATGCATTAACATTATTAACAACATGGTCAGTTGGTCAATAAGCATTTACTATGTACCAGACACGGGGCTAAATGCTGAGGATACAAAGAAAGGCAAAAAAAAAAAAAAAAACAAACCCAACTGCCTGATGTCAAGGAGTTCACAGTCTTAATTGGGAATCCAGCATGCAAACAAATAGGTAGGGATGTAGTAGCAATGCTGTTGGGGAATGGTCTTATGGAAACAAACATACTGACTGAGCTGGGGGAGGGAGGTACCCTTAGATTTTGCTTAAACTCTAGTTAAATCTGTAAGTATAGCCATTCACTTCCAGTGAATCCATTCGCTACTTGGGTTGCTGAGGCAAATCATTCAAACACTGACAATCAAGTTTCTGAACATTTTATTTAATATTTATCTATGCTCTGAGATGAGCTGCTGTTCTCACAAATCAAAAAGTGGTGTTCTGGTAGTGAGATCTACAAGCAGAGGAGTGGTTGTTCTGCCATGTTATGTCAATGTGGTTGTCTTTATGGTATGTCTTTCAACTATCATCTGATGGCTTAGCTGTATAGATGAACAACCTGTCCCTGATGACTAGACTTCACATATTAAAAAGAAACACCACAGGGGAGTCTGGCAGTATGCTTGTGGCCAGAGAGCCTTTTAGAGTTGAGTGACTCTCAGAGCGGAGGAAATGTCAACACTGGGATTTGGACCAAGGAGTTTAAATGAATCAGTCAATCAGTATTCATTATTTTTTTTTTCTGCTTAGGGGCGCTGGCTATTAGTTTTATTTCTGCTTCTCAAAAAGAAAAGCAACAGTTGCTCTTACCCAAAGACCTTTGAAAACAAAGGAGTCATTCAGCGTTGATGAGTACACTTAGGCCCTACCACACTCTGTACAAACAATGAGCTATCAGAGTTCAGAGGAAGACAAGAAATTGTAAAACATCATAAAGGTGGTGAACATGGCCCCTTAAGTGGACTTAATGTGTACTAAGTCAGTCTAGCACCAAGTATCAACAATTACTCTATAATCAGCATAATAATGTAGACATATTTCAAGGTAATCATTCTACCTTCATTCCCATATTGTCTGGCATGGTAGTCTACACTAACCAAATTCATAATTTCAGCTCCATTGAACAAGGATTGATTGGAAACATACTACATGCAAGGCACTCACTAGGTAGTGAGAGAGATGGAAAAAATAATAGAGTTTATAGATTAAGGGAGGAGATAAGACAAGAAAACAATAGAAACTAGCAAGGGTTGATTAAATCTAAAATCTAGTCATAACAGTCTAGTCTAACCATAAAATCTCATGGATTCCAACACCAGGCAGAATGTCATGGAAGAGTGCGGAATTGTTCCTGGGATTCAACTGAAGGAGGAAAACAATATGGCAGAGTGGTCAATGAACAGTGCTGGTCATGAAGTCAAAACTTGGACTCTAAATCCCAGTTCTGGTTCTCATAAACTATGATGACAGACAAGTCACTGAGCCTCTTTCAGCCTGATTCCTCATCTGCCAAATGGGGATAATTAATCATAACAACAACAACACTTATGTGGTACTTCACAACACACTGTACATATTATCTCATTTGATCTTCACAACAGCTCTGTGCAGTAGCTGCTATCATTATCACCATCTAACACAGAAGGAAACTGAGGCAGAGAGTGGTTGTGATTTGACCACACCCAAACAGTTACTCCCTGAGGTAGAATTCAAACTCAAGTCTTCCTGACTCCAAGCCCGGGACTCTCACCCATTGTGCTACCTAGCAGCCTCTAAGAGTGATAACTGACATTTATGTTGAATTTTAAATGATTTACTATTACAGCCAGAAAAACTCAGAGATCACCACCAACCCCTTCATTTTACACATGAGGTGCAGTTATTCGCTCAAGGTCATACAGCTAGCTCATAGTAGCAAAGCCAGGAATAGGACTTGTGGGAAGTGGGCATGGGGTCTGATTCCTAACCTACCTGAAGATTCCTTCCACTGCACCACCTTCCGGTGCATACCTTTTCATCTGCTTCCTGTCACTGGAAGTATGCTAGGAGTCTGAAAACAGAGATTTGTAATTAAGTAGCATCAAAGAGCGATAGAGAGTCAGCTGTAAAGTTATGACAGCTGGGTTCATGTACTGCCTCTGACATGTCCTGACTGAGTGACTCTGGGCAAGTCAGCCTCTCGGGGCTCCAGACAACTCCCTGAGACCATAAGCTGCAGAAGAGGTGTCAACTGGTATTGGGAAGGGATTTTCCTCACCAAGGAATCTGGTCTCTATCATTGTCCTATAAAACACTCTAAGGTTTGCAAAGCCACTTTATACACATTGTCATTTGGTCCTCAAAGCAGCTCCATGAGCTAAGAACTATAGTTATTATCACCTTCATTTTGTAGACAAGAAAGCTGAGGCCAGGCAAGTTAAATAACTTGGTTGGGGTCTCACAGCCAAGAAGTGTGTGAGGTGGAATTCGAACCCAGCTCTTTCTGTCTACAACTCTCCACATGGGCATCATGAGAATAGTCTAATAAGATAGTGAGAGTGACATGTTTTGCATCTGAAAGCTAGGTAAGTATCAGGAGAAAAAAAAAACAAATTATTTCTGGCTAGATACAACAGGGAAGATCTTAAGAAAGAGGTGCCATTTGAAACGGACCTTAAAGGATAAGTAGTATTGTACAGATAGAAATGTTGGAGAGGAAATAGAGAATCAGTAGCTGATTAATGACAATACTTGTCATTAAACTAACGACAATTTTTAAGAGGACAAAGGATGACTAGGTCAGATCCCAAAATAAAATAGGAAAAATTATTAACTTATCTAATTCCAGATATTATTTTTCATTATTGGGGAACATGGAAAGGTAAGGAGTGCTGAACTTATAATCAAGAGAAATTTGTATTTGAATTCTAAAGCTGACACTAGTATGACCATTGTCAAGTCTCTGAGCCTCAGTTTCCTTATCTATAAAATGGGGATGGCAATGCTTGTAGTATCTACCTTGTAAGATTATTGTATCAAATGAAATAATGCTATAGCACCAGATAAATGTCTGTTATTATTCTCACCCACCATCTTCCTTTACAAAAAAAAAAGTCTACTTAACCTATTAGAGCAGTTACTGCTACAAATTGTGAGACTGAGAAGTGGAGAATCTGAGCAGCTTTTTCAAGGTCATACAGTCAGTCCGTTAATGTTAGAGTGCTGACTAGAATTCAGGCCTATTGCTTCCTAGTTCTGTCCTCTTTGTTGCCATTTAATCATTTCGGTCATGTCCAACTCTCCATGACCCCATTTGGAGTTTTCTTGGCCAAGATATTGGAGTGGTTTGCCATTTCCTTCTCCAGCTCATTTTATAGATGAGGAAACTGAGGCAAAGAAGGTTAAGTGACTTGCCCAGGATTATACAGCTAGTAAGTATCTGAAGCCAGATTTGGACTCAGGAAAACAAGTCTTTCTGACTCCAGGCTTGGCACTACCCGCTGTACCTCCTAGCTGCACCCTCAGTCCTCTTTATATGATTCCATTCATCACACCTATGCCACTAATGTTTTCTATGTAAATATAAAATGGAAAACACGTACAATACCAGAAAAGAAAAAAGAACTGTATCATAGCTCCTGGAACATAGTAGGTGCTTAATAAATGCTTTTTGACTGACTGTACATCCTTCACAAAGACAAATGAAAGTCACTTCTTCCAAACAAAGAGTTGATACTCTGCTGAAGGAATTCCTATTCTGTTGTCATTCTGTTTCACCCATCATACACCATCCTACATTTTCAGAATTACTGTGTGCTGGCCAAACTACGGGACTTTGTAGCATCACCCAAGTGTCGGAAAGTAGCTCAAGTAGGTGCCCTGAAAGACAAAGTCCGGAAACTGTACACCATCATGAACTCATTCTGCAGGAGGGTACGTTAATGTCTTTAAAGACTTCTTTTATTTGCCATCATTTATCAAATCGTTACTGAGCACCTGCTATGTGTGAGACCCTGGGCTAGAAACCTACCTTGGGATATAACAGAGTACAAAACACAGTCCCTTCCTGAATGGAGATTATAATCTTTTGAGGAAAACAAGCCGTATATACATAAAAAGACAACCACCAATACAAAGCAGCTTACAGCAAGTCCCAAATGAGTGCATAAGTGCTCAGTGGAGGCAGGGATCTCTGTCAGTGGGGGTAATCAGAAAGGGGCAGGCATTGAACTGGGTCTCCTATGGATCCGGGTAGGATACCAATGATATGCAACAAGGTAGAAGAAGGAGATTTATGCAGGTGTGTAGTGGCAGACAAGAATAGAGCCAGAATGTGGAAAGCCTTGAATGCCAGGCTAATGAGTTTAACTCTATCCTATAAACAGTGAGAAGTTATTGAAAGGTTCAGAAGAAGTTTATGGTTGGGTAAAAATTGTGCTTTAGAAAGATTCAGCTGGCAGACTACATAGGAGGGACTGGAAAAGGAGAGAATGAAAACAGGGACACTGATTTAAATGACCTTGTAGTAGTCTGGACACAGATTATATGGTTAGCAGCAATGAAAATGGAAAGGAAGAGATAGAAGGAAAAAAAATATCATAAATGACAGACAGACTGGCAGGCTTTTATGACTGACTGACTGTACCAGGGCAAAGAATTTTAGTATTATTTTACAAACTTCAGTCCGTGGTTAGTTTCTCTGTTCTTTGAGATATTTTTATTGATTAGACCGTAGTATTATTCCCCAAATGCTGAAAAGATGCTTAAGTCAGTGAGGGGAAGCAGGGGAAAGGAGGCTTAAAAAATGATTCTAAGGTCTCAGACCTGTACTGTGAAATGGGTTCTGTGATGTGATTATGCCTGGTGCTCTTGCATAATCACACAAGGCAAGGCAATTAATCTGGTGGGACAGGAAGGCAGCAATTTTTACCAATAAGGCTGATGAGGGCACCAACCTCTCTCCCTCTCTGGGGCTGCTAGTATTCAGCAAATACTAAGTGAAGTTAAACTAGGCTTCTGGGCTGGTGTTCCTAAACTAGCTCATATTGCAGGGCTGAGTTTGTTAAATGAAGGGAGAGCAAGGGATGACGGTGAAAATGTTGTAGAATGTAGAGTCTGATCACCTGGGTGCCTTTCCCTAGGTATCTGTGTCTGTGTCCTTAAGGCCATTCTGGTGTAATTAGCTATACTGAAAGCTATCAGAGGTGTCAAGGCATAGCATCCACAAAAGGGCTGGACGATGATGAGTTTCTGTCACCAATGTGAATAGCAGCTGCCTCCTTGACAAGACCTTCTGGCCCCTCTTCTCTTCCATCTGTGTGCCTGTACTATAGGCTGCAAGACTAACAATGCAAGTGCCCAAGAGTGCTATTCCCCCCAGGAGTGAGACATAGCACTCTAGGGCTTCCTGAAGTCTTAGTCACCTCTTCTCCCCCCATTTGTAATGCTGGCACTCATGTCTTGTTTCTTCAGGACTTGGTGTTCTTGTCTGATGACTGTGAGGCCCTGGAAAACCCCATCCAAGCTCCCACAACAGCAAGACCCCAACTTAGGTCAGAGCCAAAGGAAGTTGCCAAGATGTTTCCAGTTACACCAGCTGCCAAAACCTCAACTGGCTGAAATCATGTGCCCAACAGGGCTTATGTGTGCATGTGTGTGTGTGTGTGTGTGTGTGTGTGTGTGTGTGTGTGTTATCTCTAACTTCACTGTGTATTTTGCCGTCTCCAGGAAATGAACAAATCCATTGCCTACTTGGAGAGCTGCATGTCAAAGCTGGGCTAGAAAGCTTATTTTTATTGAGTATTTCTGCTTTTTCTATGTAGCCAGAAGGCCCAGATCTGTTTATTTGAACAGTAAGAATGAAATGCCAAATTTGTTTCTTCCTCATGAATAGCTAGCTTCATAGTAAGCAAAAGGAGGTGCTTTCATTACTAACCTAACTTGGTCGGGGCAAAAGTTCCTTCCGTTCTTGTAACAGCTTCGTTCATGGCTAACTAGACTCTTTTTCACAAGCTAGCAATGAGAAGCAACAGATTCTGCAATGACTTTTTAAGAACATTATCTTTGTATTGTTCTTTGAATTTCTTTCAATAGTGTTAGAAGTATTGTGATTGAAGGAAGAACCCTTCCTTTCAAAACAGGTGAAAACCTTAATTAAAGATCACTTTTCACAGAGAAGAAACTTCTTGTTTGTCAAGCATTCAATTGTCATGAATGTTCTCTTGTTTTTGATGATTCTTTTATAACTTGCTTTTCTAAGCAAATTGTATTTCTCCCCATTTCCACGTGAGCCTGGAAGTTACTGTTCTAGGTCATGGTTCTGTCCATGATAGAACATGACTCCCAGTGGGGCTCTGATGCCACTGTGCACGGACACCATTTCTTTATGCCTTTCAGGGATTCTCCACTTTTTTCGTTGTTTTGCCATGTGCTATGTGATCTATGTGTCAATGGCAATTTGATGCGACTACAGTTATCCCTTCCACATTGTGGGGATTAGGGGTGCAAAGCTCCCACAGTTTGGAAAATCCATGTAAAAGTTTTGGACCTCTTTTCATATCAGAGAAGCACCAAATTTTTTTTCTTTTTCTTTTATGGAATGTTTACAGTACCTTATTGTAAAATTTGGATTAAGTATTTGGTTATAGGCTCTGTGTCATCTGCCAGACATTGTATGTCATCTGTGGCTTCTGTAAAACTCCAAAAATTTCTCATTTAATTTCTTATGCTGATGCACGATGTATCAAAACCATGATGGGGAAAGTCGCTATGTAAAAGGGATAACTGTACTTTTTTTTGGACAGTGTTCCACAGAAGAGATGAACTATTTATTATGCTAAAGCAGTAGGCTTTCATTAGAAGTGTATTTTAATCCAGACAAGGGAAGATGCTTAGAATGGAGAAGGGAAGGCAAAAACACACCCAGATCAATTATTGGAGAGACCAGGATACCATTAGAGAAATCTCCAAAGGGGCAGTATATGTCTTTGATTTAATTGGGGTTTAGATAGAGGGTTGTCCAAGAAATGATCTGCTATTCATAGCAAGAGGAAGAAGGGGACTGATTGATGCAATGAAAGACTCCCACCAAACTAAGAGCTCAGGTAACACCAAGCTCTCTCCACTCACCCAGGCCACTGTGAGCACACCTGGGTTGTTTTAAACAATAGGGGACTTTCCAATACAAAAGAGGGACAGGTATTTTATAAGGAAGGATGTCGTCTTACCCAAGTTCCTACCTCTGATGTTACTAATAGATAGGTGATAGCTAGGAAGCTGGTAGTTTCCAGAATGGAAGATTCCAGAGAAAGAGTAGAGTACCAGGCAAGAGGAGTAGAGACAGCTTATTGTAAAGAAATTAAACATACATAAAGAAGCAAATGAACATAGTAGTATAATGTTCAATAACCCAAAGACCATAATTACTGGAGTACAGACTCATTATAACTATTAAGACAACTGGAAAGCAATCTGTTAAAAATTGGGTTTAGACCAAGATCTAACACGTGCCACAATAAGCTCCAAATAGGTACATGGTCCAGAGAACAAATGTCATGTCATAAACAAATTAGAAAAGCAAAGAAGAAAATACTTCTCACAACTATGACTAGGGAATGAGTTCATGAACAGATAAGAGATAAAGCAGCTCCAAGAAGATTAAATGAACTGTTTTGATTATATAAAATTGAAAAGGTTTTACATAAACAAAATCAATGCAGGTAAAAATAGAAGAGAAATAGTTGGATAGGAAAAATATCTTTGCAGCAAATTTCTCCAATAAAGGTCCAAAATACATAAGTTACTAATTCAAGTGAACAGGAATTACAACCATTCTCCAACAGACAAATATACGATGGATATGAACAGTTCTCAAGGGAAGAGATCCAAGCTATCTCTATTCAGAAAAAAAAAATGCTCCAAATCACAAATAATTAGAAAAATGTAAATTAAAACAATTCTGAGGTTCCATCTCACACCTATCAGGTCAGTAAATATGACAAAGAAAGAAAATGACAGTTGTTAGAAGGGTTTTGAGAAGGCAGAAGCTGTGTGCAGTGGTGTAGCCATTCTGGAAAGTATTTAGGAATTCTGCCCAAAAAGTCACAAAACTGTCCATATCCTTTGAACTAGTGATATAAGTGCTAGGCCTAAACCCCAAAGAAGTCAAAGAATGAGGGAAATATTCATATATACAAAAATATTTATAGCAAGCTCTTTTTTTTAGTAGCAAAGAACTGTATGCAAAGTGAGTGTTCATCTGTTGGAGAATAACTGGACAAATGAAGGTATTTTAATGTAATAGAATACTATTTTACCATAAGAAATAGGAAAAAGGATGAGAATAAAGAAATCTGGAAAGATTTGTATACCCTGATGTATAGAAGTGAGCAGAACCAGAAGGATAATTTATACAATAATACAACATTAAAAAGAAAAGTACTTTGTAAAGAATTAAGAACTCTAATCAATGGGATGACCATTCATCACACCAGAAGACTAGTATGGAAGTATGTTCCTTTCTGACAGAGGGCTGATGGATCCAAAGTGCAAAATGAAATATACATATCTGGACATAACAAATTATAGATTTATTTTGCCAGATTATGATTATGTGTTATAATAATTGTATTTTTCTCTTTTATTGGTAGAAGAAGTTGCAGGGGAATGAGGACCTAGTGATAGCATTGCCCTCCTCCAAAAAAAAAAGAAGAAAAAAATAACAGAGCATCTTAAAAATGCAAATACGGAAATAGAAGGAAGCTCAGAAGTAAATAGACAAGCAGGACAGTTTTGAAAATAACGTGCTGAAAATTAGAGATAGCCATGTTAATATAGATAAAGATATTGATATAAAAGCAAATTGAATGTAATATTGATTCATGTTTTCACATATAATCCTTTCTCTCTCTCTCTCTCTCTCTCTCTCTCTCTCTCTCTCTCTCTCTCTCTCTCTCTTCCTCCCCCCCATCTCTTCTCTCTTTGTTACTCTCTCTCCATTAAATTCAGAATAATGTTTTAATAAATAAGACAAGCACAGAAAGAGGGTAACTGCAAACTTATATTTAATTACATGGATGCCAGAAAGATCCATGTTAAACTTTGGTACTTTCCATTATGGTTTTCAGAGATGTTATGGCAAACATTCTGCAATTGATAAATGGTCAAATGATATGTATGAATAGGCAGTTTTCAGAGGAAGAAATCCAGCTAATCTATAGCCATAAAAAATGTCTCCAAATCACTAATAATTAGCAAAATGTAAATGAAACACCTCTGAGGTTCTATCTCACACTTATCAGATTGACAAAGCTGACAATTGTTAGATGAGCTACATGAAAGCAGGCACACTGATGTACTCCTAATGGAGGTGAGAATTGGTCCAGCTATTCAATAAAGTAATTTGGACCTATGGCCCAAGTGACCAACCTGTGCATACCCTTCAATCTGGCGATACCATTACTAGGGCTATACTTCTAAGACGTAAAAGCAAGGGGCAAAGGGCACACCCACACAAAAATATTTATATGGCAAAGAAATGGAAAGTAAAGAGATATCCACCAACAGGTGGATGGCTGAACAAATTTGGGGATATGAATCCAATAAAATATTATTGTATTATAAAAATAATGAAAGGGACATTTTTAAAGAAATCTAGAAAGACTTGTGTGAACTGGTGCAGAGTGAATTGAGTGGAACTAAGAGAATAATATATATGATAACAACATTGGGGGAAAAAAACATCAGAAGACTGAAGAATTGTAATCAATGCAATGACCATGATTCCAGAGGGCCAATGAAGAACTATGCTCCCCATCAGCTGACAGAGTTGCACAAGGATACATGTATTTTCAAAAATGGATAATGTGGAAATTTGTTTTACTTGACTAGTCATATTTATTACTGGGTTTGTTTTCATTTTTCAGGTGGGGATAAGATGGGAATGAGAAAAAAATAAATGCTTATTAATTGACAAAAGTCAAATCAAATTACCTTTAAGAATAAGTCATGGGGAAAAGCAGAGATTTTCTGAATAATAATAACTAAAATTTATATAGTGCTTACTATGTGCCAAGCACTGTGCTAAGCTCTTCACAATCATCTGTCATTTAATCTTAACAAAAAACCCTGGGAGATAGGTGCTATTATTATCAACCCCATTTTAGAGATGAGGAAACTGAGGCAAACAGAGGTTAAGTGACTTGCCCAGGGCCACTCAGCTAGTAAGTTTCAGGGGCCACATTTAAACTCAGGTCTTCCTGCCTCCAGGCCCAATGTTCCATCCATTGAACCACCCTCAGGAGCATCTGTATAAAATTGTCATCATCGTTTATGTAGTGGTTTGGGAAGGCTGGACTGGAGTATATCCTATGAAGTATGCTGCATGGGATGATGCATATGCATATATTTTAATGCAGTTTAGGTTTTTTCCATGGTGTCAACTCACATGACTTCTGATTAATAATAAGGATAATGAAGGGTTCAGAAGGCCTTTCCAAAGACTCAGCATTGCTAACCTTATAACACAGAGTCTTCACTGCACAAAGCAATCTGTGTTTTCTGTGCCCAAGACTTGAGGCACACAAATGCAGATTAACAGATGAAGACACCCACATTAGCACACTCTCCAGAGCCCACACTTCTCCATCCCCTGGTTCTCCCTCCTCAAGCACTACACTATAACAAACAACTGGGTGGAACAGTGGAAAGTGAGCTGGGCCTGGAATCAGGAAGACTTGAGTTCAATTTGAGCCTCAGACACTTCCTAGCTGCCTGCCCCTAGACAAACCCTTCACCTCTATCTGCCTCAGTGTCTGCATTTGTAAAATGGGGATAATAATAGAACCTAACTCCCAAAGTTGATATGAGGATAAAATGAATTTGCGTAAGCTTTTTGTAAACCTTTAAGTGCTATATAAATCTTAGCTATTATCGCTATTAATAGGTCTGCCCAGAGTCTCCTGTTTATCTACTTTAATCTATTGTCTTTAGGAAGCCCTTTGTTTGGGAAAGAGGCTGATTCCTGCCTTAAGGCTGTTATCCAAAGCTGCAGTTTTCCTTCCCCACAGATCGAATGCCCTATTTCCCTCTTTGTGGTTAACACATGAAACATTGAGACCATGAATCAGCTAAGGACTCAGCTAACTACATACCTGATTTCAGTCATATGGTT